CCCCCCAGGCCCCCCCAAAGCTCCCCCAGGACCCCCCAAAGCCCCCCAGGACCCCCCAAACCCCACCCGAGCCCCACCTTGCCCTGGAAGGTGCAGAGCAGGCCGCTCTTGAGGCAGAAGGAGTGGAAGAGGTTCAGCAGGTCCAGGTTGGGCACCTGCCCGTTCAGCCCCTCCACGGCCACGTCCACGCTGGTCACCACGTCCGAGCTCAGCTCCAGCGCCAGCGCCGCCTGGATGGCGCCCGCCCGGCCCGGGAGCCCCCCCGACTGCATGCCTGGGGAGGGGGCACTGTGAGACCCCCAGGGCACCCCCATGGCACCCCCAGAATGGCAACGGCACCCCCAGGATGGCAACAGCACCCCCAGAGCCACGGGACCCCCAGGATGGCAATGGCACCCCCAGAACAGCCACGGGACCCCCAGGATGGCAATGGCACCCCCAGGATGGCAACGGCACCCCCAGCGCCGCCTGGATGGCGCCCGCCCGGCCCGGGACCCCCCCCGACTGCATGCCTGGGGAGGGGGCACTGTGAGACCCCCTGAGACCCCCAGGGCACCCCCAGAACGGCCATGGCACCCCCAGAGCCACGGCACCCCCAGGATGGCAACGGCACCCCCAGAACAGCCACGGGACCCCCAGAATGGCAACGGCACCCCCAGCGCCGCCTGGATGGCGCCCGCCCGGCCCGGGACCCCCCCGACTGCATGCCTGGGGAGGGGGCACTGTGAGACCCCCTGAGACCCCCAGGGCACCCCCACGGGACCCCCAGAACAGCCACGGGACCCCCGTGGGACCCCCGTGCCCACTGCGGTCACCGTGTCCGTGCCCAGCTCCGGCCAGCGCCACTTGGGGGGCCCTGAGCCCTCCCAGTGCTCCCAGTCCCTCCCAGTGCTCCCAGTTCCTCCCAGTGCTCCCAGTCTCACCAGTAAGGGTCCCAGTCCCTCCCAGTACTCCCAGTCTCACCAGTAAGGGTCACACAGTGTCCCCCAGCCCCTCCCAGTGCTCCCAGTCTCACCAGTAAGGGTCACACAGTGTCCCCCAGCCTGTCCCAGTGCTCCCAGTCTCACCAGTAAGGGTCACACAGTGTCCCCCAGCCCCTCCCAGTGCTCCCAGTCTCACCAGTAAGGTTGACATCATGGTAGGCCTCCAGCCAGGCCTGTGTCCCCAG